GCCCCAAATATATGAAGCCTGTTACAAAAGCTATTGACAAACCGCTGCCGCAGTTGCGTTTTGTTTTCAGCTTTCAAAATTTCGGTCGATTTATTCCTATCTGTACTTTTTGTCCTCACTCGTACAAAATATATATATATATATATATATATATATATATATATATATATATATATATAAAAAAGGCTTAAACACTAATATTCCATGGAATATTAGTGTTTAAGTTTTATTATATCCCTATTTTGTCCTGGACATTGAGTTCTACCTGGATTCTATCCTCTTTGAATTATTTTTTATACATACATATATATATATATATATTAGATATATGATTGCATGTGTATATTTATCACTAATATTATATATATATATATATATATATACATATTTATCTATCTATCTATCTATCTATCTATCTATATATATATATATATATATATATAGTGGAGTGTAGTGTGTGTGTTGGTATCTTAAAATAAGATGTATTTTGGTTAAATATTATCAATTTTTTATTTAATTTTACAAATTTCCGAATTAAGCGTTTTTTTGGTATATGAAGAAATATAGCTTTAAGGTGTGCTATTTGGAAAAGTGAACATTGAAGTCAACACTCAGCGGCGACAGACTGTTCCATGCTAAATACAATCATCAGACCACCATGCGTTTAGCATGAAACAGTCTGCCGCCACTGAATGTTAACTTTAATGTTCACTTTTATATTTATAATTGCAGCATGGTCCGGTGTTGCCCGTGCTTGATTCAAAAATCGTACGACTCATACAGCAATCGCTATCACTTGAATATTTTATGCCCTTCCTTGCCTTTAAAGGAGTGCCCTTTGCCGTTTTGATGTTGCTACATGCCTTACTTCTTGCCTATCTCACACTGCGAATTTTTCTAAGCTCTATACTAAACATTAAATCTGTTACGAAGAAAGAACTAAACAAAATGAACACAAAACGATCAGCTTTAAAAAAGAACTCGTAACTGGAAAAACCGAATGAAAAAAGAATGTTAACAACTAATACTTTTTCACACCCAACCCAGTTCTGCGGAATCAGAATCAATGTTGAGTTTAAGCCAGGGAATGAGCCAATTGGAGTAAAGTGCCATGCAGATTTAAATTTTTCCCACTTGTGACGAATGCAGCTATCGATTTTTTTTTTGCATGCTAGCATGACCGTTAACATTCGTGTCAGTCAGCTGTTGGTTCTCACGCTGGCCAATAGAATATTCCTGATTATCCGTGGCAGCCAGCTATAGGCTCTCATTCTGGCCAGTAGGAAATGGCCGCAAACTACATGAAAACTGCCGTAGAAGCATGAAAGAAAACGATTATTTCCACTATCGATGTGAGTCGGGAAATGCAATGTCGGTCTTGGCCTTCCCTCTAACTTTGAGCATGTGCATGTAATTTTGGTGCAAATCCGTCGAAAATTGCGGCCGTGCATTCGTTACACCCCCCCACCCCACACACACATCCTGCCTTTTATAGATAGAGATACGCTCTATCTCTGATGCTGAGCACTTTATCCAAATAGCACACCTTAAAACCATACTTCTTTATATATATATGTGTGTGTGTGTCTATAGTCTTTTTTAAGATATATTTTTAGTTATGCATGAATTTTTCACATACAGACATATATATATATATATATATATATATATATATCATGGCTATTTCCTGGTTAACCGGTATTTCCATGCTACATTATATCTTTGGTATCTCTGGGACTCGAGTTCTTCGCTTTCGTTTCGAGATAATCTGAGTTGAAAAAAAATGTGAAAAAAAAAAGACGAAAATGCAATGTCCAGTAACAAATATGCACCCTACATCAAATAAATCGCTTCAGAAGTCAAGTATAAACTTCCAAAGGTCACCTCTTATATCGTAACCGATAAGCGAATAAAGTCAGTAACACATGATTTGGGACTGAACACTTTCAGTCCCTTTCATGCTGGCAGTTCGAGACATCGCCTTGAGTAAATATTTGCCATCTTTGAGAAGCAATCAAGTGTAAATCATATCAAGGCAAGTTTCCTGGTTATTTAGAGAAACTTTACGAAAGTTTGGCTCTACCGTTTTTCCCCAGAGTTAAAACTTAATTCACTGTCGTAATGTTATGGAAACTCCTGTTAGTGCCACGATAAAAGTCGTTTGCATTGCATTTATTTCTTGAGATGTACGAAATTATGGACTTTTATTCTACTTCTGTGAATCATTTGCCACGGTGTTTTAGGAAATTTTAGAAGTGTCGCCAGGAATGATACGTAGTTCATGTCACTGGAACAATAACGGCTATTTTTTTTATTCGAAAATAATATAATAATTGTATTTGGCGAAAATTAATGTCGCAAAAGGAAAATAGATTTGGTAAAAAATAATTTATTTTAATTTGTAACGATTTGGTCATTGAATACATCTAAGCCTAAGCCTAAGGCCATATCACTTAGAAACACCAGTTCTCGTTCAATCAACGAAGTTAAGCAACGTCGAGCCTTGCCAATAATTTGACGAGTAATCGCTTGGAAATAGCTGGTGCTCTAATAGGTTATGGCTCGGAATTGTTAATCGTAGTCGGTGAGTCCTAATTCCATTCAGCTTTGATATATTCACTTTCGCGCAAATATCTATGGCAAATGTACGAATCCACCTCTACTCCTTCAGCTATGTGTTAATTAGTAGAAATTGTATCAGATACTAACCGTTTCCCAAATGGAAGCAAAAAAAAAGAAGAATTCTCCTCTTTAAAAACTAACGTTTCGAAACCTAACGTTCATTTTCTATTGTTTATTTTTCCTCTTTGTTTTGTACGAGGTAAAATCAAAAAAATTATCTGCACTAAAGATATGTTATGGTTAAAGTGCGGATAATTGCTGACCTACTCTCGTATAAATAATCAATTATTTTGTATGAGTTAACATTTAATTCTAAAAAAAACAATAGCAAAAAGATCGTCTCGTATATATTTCTAGCTAATTATTTCATTATTTGATTAATTTATGTTTGTCAATTAAACATATATTATAAGAACAATTATAATTACTACATCTGTTGACTATCCATTTATTACAAAGAACCGTATATATATGTTATTGTCATCTTTGATAATGGCTTATATAAGCCGAAAGGTTAGATTGTGTTTAAACATGTCTCAATATGATGATTTCCTTTCGTCTTTCAATGATAATCAGACAATATGAAAGGAGCTTACTTAAAATAAAAAGACAAAACTTATTATTTAATGAAACATGCATCAATGAAAAATTGCTGCCTAAATATACTCTCTCTCTCTCTCTCTCTATATATATATATATATATATATATATATATATATGTGCAAAGGGCATTAGATAAATTGTATTCTAAATGAAAAAAAATGAAAATAACACTGACATTGCATTTTAATAGATGTATTTATCAAATTTACACAAACTTATCTTGAAAGACTAAAGAATAGATTTATTTAAAAATTCGACAGTGGCTTCAACAACGGTCTCCAGGAACTCTTCTGGAGGGTCTCTTTTATGGTGAATGTTGCCATAATCCTCGCCTTCAGTTCATCTTTGGTGTTACAAAAGGTTTTGTTGGTCTCTTGCTTACCAGCGCCCCACACATAATAATGAAGAGTGTGGCCGTCTGGGGAGTCAGGTTCCTAAATGTAAGGGGTGATACGGTTGAAGAAATTGTCTGACAGCCTAGACTGGGTTCTACTGCTTGTGTGATGTGATGCCGAGTTCTGTTGCCAGTCATAAGGTCTTTCAGTCGCCATTTTCTTGACCGAGGGTAGCGCTCCCACCTTATGGCACTTCATGTAGGCTCACGTGTTGAGTATGAGGCTCTTGTAGGAAGATGAATGGGGATATAACTTCGCCATCATTAGTGATCACTACAAACACCTACGTAATCACAATTAGACTCTTTCAAACCTTTCCGTATCGTCAGCACTGTCTTTAGATTGACACTTAAATGTTGATATTGGAGCTTCCGGCGCGAAAGCAAAGCGGTATAGCATACCGTTTCCAAATTTCTGTGAGGGTGAATTCCGTGATGGTGATCTTTTTCTCACAGACGATCACAAATGACCCTACTATACTGTGAAGTCGACAAAATCAAAAACTAACAACGCGCATGCGCGAAGTAAAAAATAGCGACAATTTGCCATCGCACTCTGTGTGTTTGCACATATACAAATAATATTGCTGAACCTTTTTGTATATATATATATATATATATATATATATATATATATATATATATATATATATGTATAGAAAGAAGGATCAGCAATATTATTTTTTCCTGACCTGGTGTCTTGGTTTCACTCACTTTCTCACCAGCGTAAAGTTGCTTCCCTGTACCCTTTCTATAAATACTTTCAGGGTCTTTTTTTCAGATAAGCTCTTTGCTTTGTTACCTCGTCTTTAAGCGCAGTACTCGGCTGGCAACAAGTTCTCATCAATTTACAGCCGAATTGGCTATATTTAACCGTTACTTCGCTGCGAACCGATTCTTTTCTCGAACTTCTGGCCTGTGGAACTCTCATCCAATGTTATAACACAGAATGTCCCCCCCCCACCAATAACCTTCCGACCTTGATACAGAACCGTGATGTTGGGCGTGAATTCCATGAATGTCCGTACTAACTCTGTCATTTGCTTAGATGAACACCAACTCTACAACCACAGACGGTCATGTGATTGATGATCCCTGGAGACGGGTCGTCAAACGTAAAATATATCTATTAACTGAGAATGGAATAAAGAGGCTTTTATATGTTAAAGAAAAAAAGCAAGGTTAAGTAAAGACGACAATATTGATTACTTGACCTTTTAACATAATGGCAAGTTTATAGGTCTTATCATAATTGAGAAATTACGCGATGAAGTTAAATAAAATCCAATAAGTGTTATTTGCTAGAATCGTCTGGATCCAGATCTTAACAATGGGCGGAAAGTGAAACTCCGAAATCCAAATGCGCACTGCGATATCGAAGCTAAGAAACAGACTGATAGATAGATAGATAGATAGATAGATAGATAGATAGATAGATAGATAGAAGACTGAAAGAAAGAAAGATAGGTAGATACATACATAGATAGAAGACTAAAAGATAGAGATAGATAGATAGATAAGAGACTAATAGACAGATAAGAAGAAGAAATATATATATATATATATATATATATATATATATATATATATATATATATAGATAGATAGATAGATAGATAGATAGATAGATAGATAGATAAGGACATACCGATAGACACGTAAGAACAGACATAGATAGATAGGTAATAAATAGATAGATAGATAGATAGATAGACAGACTGATAGATAGATAGATAGATAGATAGATAGATAGATAGATAGATGCATACATACGTGCATACATACATAGATAAGAACAGACTGATAGACACATAGGAACAGACAGATAGATAGATAGATAGATAGATACATACGTACATACATACATAAATACATACATACATACATACATACATAAGAACAGACTGATAGACACATAAGAACATACTGAAAGATAGATAGATAGATAGATAGATAGATAGATATGAAAAGAGATAAACAGATATTTTCGTTAGAAACAAAACAAAGAATGGAGCGTTTATATATATTTTTACTATATCGGTGGGTGTTAGCAATATTTCTTTACGACTAATGCTTAACCACCTGCGATTAGAATTGATATCAGCTCTGCTATATCTGCAGGATATACGTCTGATATCAATAAAGATATGCTTAATGATTGAGACACATTGATTTCCATTAGATACTCACGTAAAGGGAAAATTTTGTGATAAATATAATATAAAGAAAAAAAAACTATGGAAATGTTATCTAACACCAGTCCTTCTAAATGGCAGTGAATGGAAAAGATGGAAAAGAGAATTGAAGCAAGAGAGATGTAGGTCTACAGAAGGATGCAGAGAACAGAATGGTTTAAGCATATACGATTTATGTTTTAACTATACGCAGTATATATGCATATCATGTCACCGCCATGTGCACATTCAAAAATATAAGAAACTAGAAAGCAAAAATACACAGAAACAAAAATTTGAAAAAAGAACACACACACACACACACACACACACACACACACACACACACACACATATATATATATATATATATATATATATATATATATATAATTATTTATTCGAAAATTATAACATAAATATGTTATAAAATCACTACAAAAATAGCCATTTTGTTTCAACACTTCTGGTGTCTTATCAAGTGATGATGTTGAATGTAGAATAAAGTATTTTAAAAGGTTTAAAATCAATCAAACACCCCCCGGTAAGGGAAAAGCTGTTACATAAGCTGGAATGACCAATCAAAATACAAATATACGAGAATTCAAAAAACTTGACAACGAACTAACGTTATAATAATTATTTAATTCTTTAATGTTGGGGAAGACAATAGTCGTAGCCAATAGGCGTCCTCCATGTAACTTCACATCAGTCTGTATTTATGGCTGACACCAGCCAATCATATTACTGTTAGGGGGAACCCAGGTGTATGTATATTCATTACATCAACCATTTAATTGATATCTGAAAATAATTAGTCGAAGATAGAGGACTAATTGGGAGGGAAATGTTGGAAGATCTCTCTACATTCATGTACGAATAAAATTTAAAATTTCCGAGTGAAATGAAAATTTTATTTCTTAATATGTCTGAATAAATCTCCTTCAAAACGGATATATAAAAATATAAAAATGTCCATGCGTGTGGATTTATCTATCACACCCTGCATATATATATATATATATATATATATATATATATATATATATATATATATACGGTTCTTTGTAATAAACGGATAGTCAACAGATGTAGTAATTATAATTGTTCTAATAATATATGTTTAATTGACAAACATAAATTAATCAAATAATGAAATAATTAGCTAGAAATATATACGAGACGATCTTTTTGCTATTGTTTTTTTTTAGAATTAAATGTTAAATCATACAAAATAATTGATTATTTATACGAGAGTAGGTCAGCAATTATCCGCACTTTAACCATAACATATCTTTAGTGCAGATAATTTTTTTGATTTTACCTCGTACAAAACAAAGAGGAAAAATAAACAATAGAAAATGAACTTTAGGTTTCGAAACGTTAGAAGTTTTTAAAGAGGAGAATTCTTCTTTTTTTGCTTTCATTTGGGGAACGTTTAATACGTTCCTAACCCCCAGGGGAGTCCACCCACGTAGAAAATGGACAAGTACACAGCCTAACGTAGAATGAAAAGTCATTTTGATTCACATAAGGGAAGTTAATGAACATAAGGCCGGTATGTTTATTTCTTTGTTCGTTTCTTCTGTCAAACATTCTCGTCAATTGAACTCCGTGAATAATCATTTGTTTTGGGAGATGTGTAAATCTTTGTAATATGTGTATATAAGTTGTATTTGCCTTATTAAATGTTTTATGACAGGCGTGTATCTCGTCTTTCCATATTCACATTCAGTGTTAGTCTATCAATGGCTACCCTAATGGTAATTTTCGTACTTGGTGTACAGGAAAGCATTATTCTTCCTAGCATTAAATAGCCGGTAAATTATGCTTATACACAATAATAATAATGGTAATGTCTGCTAGAAAACTCTAAAAAACTAGGCTCGACTAATTTATACAGATTATCAACCTTTTTTGTGTTATGTAAAATTCATACATATCTCGAATTGTAGGAAGTTGTTTACAGTAGACAATGTTTCCGCGAGGTCCCTGCTTAACTTCGCTGATCGAACGAGAATTGTTGCTTTCGGATAGACTGAAACATGAATAGGTTGCATTTTGAACAAATAAGTAAACCTTTCGTACCGACAAAAAAAGTCCATGAGTCCGAACTGTAAAATGGATTGACTAATTCTGTGTCATTTACAAAAGTAGCTCGATACCTTAGACAACATCTGGCAGATTGTATAGATAAACAAACAAACAAAAATATACATGCAAAGTTGAATAAGTGCTTACATTGAAGTTCAGTAGGCCGAAGTATTGATTGTTTTTTTTTTTAAGTTGAAAAACAGTGTCTCTTTTAAATGCGATTGCTCTTTGAAGCGACTAATTGTAAATGTATGGCGATGGCCTCGTTTAGGGAACATATGGCGAGAATTTCCTCGAGTACACCATAAAATATTGTTGCATCACACAACGAAATTTTAAAGATCAATGTCTATATATATTTAAACGAAACACTTACGTTCGCATGTATTATCTATCTATCTATCTATCTATCTTATTATCGTCATTTGAAATACAGATCTCCCTGCCTTATTTGCCTCCCCACCCCTTACCTCGTTATGCATATCCATATGCATACATGCCAGATATATAGCCAGAGAAGAAAGAGACCCTGTTGCTAGTAAACACGTATTTCACTTTCTAATGTTAATCTCATTACCCCGAATATCTATCTATCTATCTATCTATCTGTGTGTTTGTTTATGTCAATCTGTTCATATTTATCTGCCTGTTCATATCTATCTATCTATCTATCTATCTATCTATCTATATCTATCTATCTATCTATCTATCTATGTCTCTCTGTATATATATATATATATATATATATATATATATATATATATATATATATATATATATCCCCCAAGTATAGGATTGGTGTATACGGAATAAATTCCAATAACCAACAAATACTATTCTTAAAAGAGTGCTCAATAAAGAGTAGAGGAAATATAATCATTTATTCGAAATTTCCTACGCCTATTGCCTACCACTACGACGAGGACCAATCCATTACGGGTACCTGCTAGATTGTCCTACCAGGTTACAGTAGTCCAAAACCACTTCGCTACTTCGAACAAATATATCTCTTTCCGGGACATATCAATGTTCAACCAAAAAAATCTCCCACCCACCCAAGTAAGATATTTAGTCACTTGTTTAGATTTAGAAAAGAAGGTTGGATCCAGTTTCGAATCTCAACAAGATTGATTGGTCAAGCAGGTGACTTCCTGAAATTATCGGCATGCCGACACAATCCCAGCGTTCGGCAACGTCTGAAACTGCCCGAAAACCGTACCGTGGATTGACAAGAGTCTTGCAAGTAGACGAAACTGTTCGGAAGCTATTTGTAGGGGTGCTAGCATGAAGTCACACGTCATCGTGACCGGAGGTTTGACCGTACTGGACTTGTTGATCAAGCCGGATTATTCTGTTTCTTTCACAGAAGCAGGAGGAGGTAAAGTAATGGATAGCAGCGTGGATTGAGGAATCGGAGAGCCGAGTTCGAATTCCAATCAAATCCATTAAATTCACTTACGTGCTAATACTCTTGGGAAAGGTATGAATACTCCCCTTCTCTCCCCAGCTATGGGTAAATAGCAGGATAGACTGGGTTCTATAGCCTTGGATGGCAACTGGCCTACCACAGAAAGAAATTGCAACCTACTGCAGGGGAAAAAAAGCTGCCTCGCCAGTCATGTACTGAAAGATACATGATCGCCTAAGCGTGTATCACTTAACTGACTGACTTGCAGAAACTGTAACAAAAGTTGGGTACAACCAAGTTGGCTCTGTAGGTGTTTAACAAACATAAATGTACCTGAATCGGCCGATGCCTACTCGGGTACATGGCGTCTAGTCAACCTAAGAAATAAGCATATTAAGAAACGACTCACGCTATACACTGTTACACTATACCGAGTGTACCAGCAAAACTGTCCAAATTGTGTTACAGCATAATTATCTCTCCCCCAAAATTGTTAATATGTAAAGAATCACTAAACTAATTGTTTCTTTAATCCAGGTTTTTAGATAAGATGTTTAGCCATCTTGATACCATATATCATAAGAATCCCTGAAAAATCCTTTAAGTTTTTCATCTAGAAAGAGAACTGGTTAAAATCGTTTTGTGAAAGCCACACTGCTTTCCCAACTGAGCAATGGTGAGAGAAAAAAGATCACTCAGGCCTTCAGTAATGGTACCAACATTCATACTGTGGCTTCCATTTTCAAAAGTCCATCTAAGAACCATCAAGAGAATAGTGAATAAGTTTCAAAAAGAGGGAAGAGTAGAGAAGAAAATTAGATCAGGAGAAAACAACAGGAATAGGGATCATAGTTTCAACTTAAAGCTAAAGAAATCAATTAGAAAAGATCCAACTCAGTTCACGAGACGTTTGGCACATGGGGCAGAATTTTCAGCTATGACAGTCCAAAGAGCAGTGAAAAAAAGACTTAAAAATGAAATCGTAGCTGAAACCTGTGAGGCACCTTGTTAATCCAGGACAGAAAGTTAATATATATACGGCAAAATGTAAGATTTTTTTTTCCAATTGTCATTTGATACCAATCTGTCTTGTTCACAGAATTGATCTGGGAATTTAACTATATATATATATATATATATATATATATATATATATATATATATATATATATATATATATATATGAACTTTATTTCAATACTTCAAGGGCTCCCGATCCTTACCTATGCTTAATCAATGATGAACATGTCATTTTTCTTTTATGTCCGATTTCATCACGATACTTCTGTTATGCTTAGAGAGTGATTATACATTCTTATTGTAGATCCCGTTAGTGTTATAAAAACCTCGGAAAATTCCAGTAAGATATTTTTAATCATTTCTAAGATATATTGGTTCAGAGCTTAATATAACAATTGGAGAAATTTGCTGTTACACGATTTGGTTAGTGTTGCTTTGACACCCGGTATATGTTGCCGCTGCCCGCCTGTATAAATAGCCAGAGAAAATGGACATCGCTAGTAATCACTCCTTCACGGGTTGAGCCAAGCCTTGTGAGTAAAATTGGGTAGACGGAACACTTGGGGCCTTCGATAGCTGTGCTAGCACGAAGTCACAAGTCATCGTGGCCGAGGGCTTGAGCATGATAGCTCTGTTCAAATTGTTGATCACGCTGGATAACACGCTCTTTCCCTGAAACAGTAACTAGGGTCTGCCAAGCATAGTGTGCAGTATAAACCACAGGCTGGCTCAGTGGGTGTTGAACAAACACAAATGTGTTTGAGTCTGCAATAGGGATTGGGTAGCCGCCCTAGTAGACAGGTATCCTCGAATAAGAGTGGTCACCTATTACTCTCTCACACACACACACACACACACACACACACACACACACACACACACACACATATATATATATATATATATATATATATATATATATATATATATATATCAAGAACTCTGCCATCGCTGATCAGGGATCCTAAGCACGACTAGGCGCTGGAAGGAAGTGATAACTCCCCGAGGGGCGCCTTTGCTGCGATACATCACCCTACGACGTATGCAGGTCAGGCAACTCCAGACAACCATGCACATTGATGATAGTGGTGAAGGCTTTGCGCAGAACGAACTACACTTTTTCAAGAGTTAAATACAGTGAGATGGTGCACCGTGTGCCACAAAGGCCCCTAAACGAGCCTCTTCAGGTTTTGAAATCAGAGTTGTCCTTCACCACTGCACCAGGTATTTGGAAATGTACTGCTTGGCATTCGCACCGGAACACCAATTGGAATTCAATCTGGGACAGTGCAGACGGCTCGGAAAAAGTTGGATGAGTTTAATGGTGATCGCGAAGGTGTTTGGAGTGATTACTAGTGATGGCGACGTTATGCTTCAATTTCATCTTTCCACAGGGCTTCAAACCGAACACGATTGCCGACATCAAGTGCCTTGAGGAGGTAGTATTGCCCTGGGTCAAGAGAATAGCTGTTGAAAGACGCTTAAAAGCGTGCGAGAATTTTTTTTAAAATTAAAGAAATATGGAAGATCAGCAGTGAAATAATCTATAATTTAGTAGTGTTTATGCTTTAAAACTAAATTATCTTTAACCTTATATAACGAATATTTTAAGAATATACTTTTTCTATTTTATACGCTTTTATGAAACTTTTATGCTATATTCCTTTGAGTTCCATTCATGGCTTTTATTTTATTTCAAGTCAAAATATTTAATTGCATCGAATGAAGTTTTTTTTTTTAATTATTTTCAATTTAAGAATTATTGAATATCATTTTAATTCTTCAAATGTGGAAATTCAGAATTATTTTCCATAAGAAAAATAATCTCACAGTTCAGTCAGTTATGTGCCATGCATGATACACGCTTAGGCGATCATGTATCTTTCGGTACATGGCTGTCGGGGTAGATATTTCCCGCAGTAGGTTGCCATTTCTTAGACCAGTTGCCATCCAAGGCTATAGAACCCGGTCTGCCCTGTTATTTGCCCGTAGCTGAATGGAGAAGAGGATCAGTACATTTCCCAAGGGTATTAACACGTAAGTGAAGTTAATGGATTTGATTGGAATTCGAACTCGGCTCTGCTGTTACTCAATTCGAGCCGCTATCCATGACTTCACGTTGCCTTCTCTCAGATGCTACACGAAAAAAATCTTTCAAGAATTGTTCACACTCGAAAATTGCATTAAAATTTAGATATTTCGATTCTTTAAACTTGTGTTTATTTAATAATAATAATAATAATAATAATAATAATAATTTTAATAATAATAATAATACAATTTCTACGATGTTCTTTCTTGGAAGGATTGCATTTTTTTTTTTTTTTTTTTTTTTTTTTTAAAACAACGCTATTTTCAACGACTTTAAAAATAACGGAATTTACATTTACATATTACATTTTATGAATTTATGAAAAAGAAAATGCAATCTTTCTAAGAAGGAATATCGTGGAATTTACAGATGGGCCAATAAATTATTTTTAAATTTCACAGCAAAGACAAACGAATGTAAACTTTTTTTTTTTTTTTTTTTTTTTTAAACAACGCTATTTTCAACGACTTTAAAAAATAACGGAATTTACATTTACATATTACATTTTATGAATTTATGAAAAGAAAATGCAATCTTTCTAAGAAGGAATATCGTGGAATTTACAGATGGGCCAATAAATTATTTTTAAATTTCACAGCAAAGACAAACGAATGTAAACTTTTTTTTTTTTTTTTAACCAGCGTCATTCTCTTTGATTTCCAATCGTGTCTCTGTCTATTGTTGCTTGGCAACCCATTTAGGAGAAGGAAAACTCCGAACAACAACCCGCAACTCAAGGTGTTAATCGTGCCGAGGGT